ACCACCTGTCTCTCCTTCCTTGCCCGATACCCGAGGTGGGCAGTACCCTCCCCCACATGCTCCTGCGATGAGGCACCGCGCAGCTACAGCCCCGAAAGTAGTGGGGCCGCCTGACCGTGGACTGGAACCTCTAAAACTGTCAGCTAAAGTAAACTGTTCTTCTTAATAAGCCGATTTGTCCCCAGTGTTTTTAATATTATTGGAGAGCTGCCCGCAATGACTGACTCCTCACCTCAGAGAGGATTGTCTCCAATGGCTCTCTCTCTCAGAGAAGGTGAAGGCTACTCTGCCGGCACTGCCCAGTAGCCGCAAGCCTTTCTTAGGGACTGGCTCCACCCAGCCCTGCCCTGCCAAGCTGAGGCTTCCGCAGGCTGTGGAGGGGTGAGCTCAGATAGGGAGCCAGTGTAGTCTGAGAACCACAGTGGCCCTGGTTCAGGTCTCTTCCCTCGGCGTGCCCCAGCTTCCACATGCCATTTGAGCCCGGGATCCTCTGCTCTTCACGGTTCGCTGCCTGCATGCTGGCTGTGGCTACTGAGGAGTCCTGGCCCCGTGGGAGCAGACATACGGGGCAGTCACTAAGCCAGGCGCCAGGCCCGCCATGTCCCCAGAAACAGGTGTCATGTTGGTCTGAACAAGAGGGAAGAAGGCTGATGCAGTTCTGAAGATCAACTGGAAATAGCTTTCCTTTATCACGAAGATGTGGGAGTCTTGAGGCACCAAGTGACTGGACTCATCTCAGAACGGGGATAAAAATGCTCCCCTAGACATTTCCTGTGGTGACTCTGGCTACAAGACCGGATTTTCTCAATTGTTCCATTGCTTCAAATGGCTTGTTAACGCTATATATAAGAAAGAGAAGCGAGCTGATTAATGGAGTGTTGATGAAATGGGTAAGGAGGGAGTGCCACCAAGGCCCTTGCAGACACCAAAACACAGGCTCTGCCTAACCTCAGAGCCTGGCCTGCTCCTGGGACAACCATATACGACTTCTACTGTGTTTCCACACAGTTGAGAACAACCTAGTGCCAAGTGTGGTGTGGACCCTTGCCTGCTGGGCGGAGATAGAAATTCGTTTCCCATCTGTCAAGTGGCCTGACACAGAGCTGGTAATGATTTTCTGTCAGGCAAGGCTTAGCTGGAATTGAACCCGTGACCCAGAGCTAAAGGGCAGCTGTCCAGGCCTTGTTATGCCCAACTCAGATCACACACATCAGTTTTGGTCAGATCCTAATTTAGCATTGCGCCAAGTGGCTCGTGTCCCGGGGACAGGAAACGGAAGGCAGAGGAAGGCAGGCCAGTCCGACTCACCTGGGGCCAGAAGCTATACGTCCTTCCAAGATGGACGTTTGCGTGTTCATAGACCAGCCAAGGCCATGTGGAACGTGGGTCTGGAGGGAATCTGCGCGGTCTCATCAGTTCCGGGTTGATTGCATCATTTCTGGTGCTAACGGAGTGTGTGTATGTGTGTGTTAACGTGGAGGAGACCGGAAAACTACCTTGGTGTCATTCAGCAGGAGTTACCCACCTCGGTTTTTTTTTAGAAGGGTTCTCTCATTGGCCTGGGGTTTGCAATTAGGGGTGGGGTAGTTTGTCATTGAGTCCCAGGGATCCTCCTGCCTTGGCTTTTCCAGTGCTAGGGTTCTACTGAACCTGCTTTTTATGTTGGCCCTGCGGCTCAGACTCAGGTCCTCACGCCGTGTGGCAAGCTCATTACCAACTGAGTAATCTCCTCAACATGGATGGGTTTTATTTTAAAAGGGCGTGGGGGAGGGGGCTTTGGGAGCTTTGCAACTGAATCACATGGCACCTTCCAAAGATACTGCTTCATAATCTAAAACTCCAAAACAATCAGGCATTCTGCTGTTTATCAGGGTTCCAAAGACACGAGAGTAAGAGCCCCGCTGAGACTCATCATTTAGGGGTACACACTGACGGGTGACCCCACAGGAAAGGACAGACGAGTTGTGTACACTCATGTCTGGAAGCACAAGGGCTGGCCACAGCCAGGACACAGTGAAATCTGTGTTTGGAACTTGGTATTCGGCCTCATGGGCCTCTACCTTTCATCTGTAAAATGGGAACCATTACAGCAGGGTCAAAACTGTTGAAAAGGAAAACGGCACAACTCATTTGTCATATATGTATGTTTACCAATGCCGAGCACACCACAGATGACTGACAGGTGTCAGCAGTGGTTCATAGGCTGTTGGGTGTTCCTGCAGGAGAAACAAACGGCTTAGGAAAGGCTATTTTAAGGTTGTGACAGACGGCACATCTGGAGATGAGGGGCGGTTTTGTAGAAAGTGGGGTGTGAAGGCTGCAGCGGTGGGGGGGGGAGAGGCAGGTGGTTGCCATGCCAACAGGAAGCCGGCCTGGGGGGATGGGTGTGGGAAGGAAAGGTTACCGAGTCTTCATTTGGGTATGTCGAGTTAGAGATGCCTGGGGACATCCGTGCAGGGATGCCCATACGCACCTGGAAATAGGAGACCAGAGCTCCGGATTTGGCTGTTCCTGCTTACGACAGGACACCTGACTGACACTGGCTTACAAGTTCCCAAACATGGGGTGAAGAGAGAAGTCTATGGCACAGACCCCTGGACAGGGCGACCTGAGAGAACTGTGGAGGGTAAAGACAAATCAGTGTTGGGTGAAGATGATGTCTTCAGCTGACACCCAAGGGGCAGCCTCAGGGAGGGCAGCGGCCACAGGGATAGCCCGGCGGCAGCTCCAAGGGTGTTTGACGGGAGCTGTGGGTGCAGCTCGTCTGTCACCAGACTCGGGGCGTTTGGGATAGGTAGGACAAGACAAGGCCCAGTTAGCACAGGAGAGCCTGGAGCACGGTGACTATGTCCTCGTCTTTCTGCGCTCTGGGGATGCAGCCGCTGAAGATTTGGCATCCACTGTCTTCATCAGCCAGCGGAGACCCATGCTCTGGCCACCTGTTGACTTCATGGAAGGACACAGATGGTTGTTAGCTTTGAGCATTAGACAGCCCTCCACAAATCCTGTCCCATGTACGCTTCCACTAAGAGGGCAGGAGTTACCCCTGCTGCTCTCTGAAATCTTTAAGCATTTTGCCAATTCTATAGGCTGAAAAATAATAGCTCCTGATTTTTCAACTTTTTATCATTTATTTAGTGTATGCTGTGTGCGAGTGAATGCGGGACGCACGCGGAAGTCAGAGACAACCTGTGGGAGTCAGTGCTTTCTCCTTCTGTCATATGGGCCACAGGGATCCAACTTAGGTCATCAGACTGGCCTTTACATGCTGAGCCACTGAGCTGGTTCGGTATTTTTTTTCTTAAAGATATATTTATTATGCATACAGTGTTCTGTCTGCATGTCAAAAGACAGAATCCAATCTCATTATGGATGGTTTAAGTCATCTTGTGGTTGCTGGGAATCAAACTCAGGACCTCTGAAAGAACAGCCAGAGCTCCGACCCCGGGTCCATCTCCCCAGCCCTAAGTTTATCATCTATTTTTATTGTTTTTACTATGGACCACCCATTTATAGTCTCTCTCTCCCTCCACCCCATGCATTTGAAGAAACTTGAATACCTTCCTCTTGTGCTTTCTGGGGTACATTTTGTCCTCACATGCCTCCCTCACTCCATTGCCAGGAGTGGGGACCATGTGAACAAGAGAAAACGGGCAATCTGAAGCTTCTGTTGGGTCACCTTGCAGGCAAGGGCAGGTAGGAGTTTGGAGAATCTACCAGGGGGCTGGAGAGATGGCTCAGGCTAACGGCTATGCTCACAACCAAAACTATGAGAGAATCTACCTGGTTATTAGGGGGGCCCCGGGGTGCATCCTATCAGTGGGGGGTGACTAGTGTGGGAGGACGGGGACCAGTGTGTGGAGACGGGGAGGGCGGTCACTGGGAAACCCACGAGACACAGTGGGGCGGGGCGGGGCGGGGCCACAGACGGCCGCCATTTAAGCTTGCACATCCCCAGACATCCATCGTGTTCAGAATTCCCTAGACAACAAGCAGTGGAGCCAAGTTCCTTCTGTGTGTGAGGAGAGCACACAGCAGGGTCCTGGCAACTTCAGTCAGGCTTGGTCATTTGGTGCCATCAGTGCCCATGGCTTGATGACATCTATGCCGGTTCAAACTAGTCCTCGTGGTGGTGACCTGCACCAAGTAAACACTGTTCCTTAAAAAAGGGGGCCAGCAATAGGTCCTCTGGGGTACGTAAGGGTTTTTACTTATTTGAGAAAACTGTTCTACATTATAAGAGTCGCGAACAAACAGAGACTTGGGAGACCTTTTGTTTACTGTCTACATACAAACTGAGGATAACGGTGACATTAATGCTTATCTAGTTTTCTAGCATATCAGATTTCAGTAAAGAAATCTTTTATTTTTAATCATGTACAAAGCACTCATCAAATCTGATCAGCATGATCTATGTAGCTTGAATCATGAAGGGTGTTTCCCCCAACTCTTGGCTGGGATTCTGAGAACAACAGATACGTGTGCCATGTTGGAGAAGACAGAAATGTCAACTGATGGTTGGAAGAGCATGGGCTTCTGCCAAGACTAGCACTCGCTGGGAACCCAGGAAAGCCTCCTGGAAGAGGCAACATTCCCATTAGGCTTTCTAGGCAGGATGAAACCCAAGAACACAGACTTGGCATTCTCCAACATAATGTGCTCATTTAAAGAGCCCTGGGCTCGGGAAGCAACACCTTCCCATCAATCCAAACGACAAGGGAGGGGAAGCCCATGTCCATAGCACCTCAGTGCTTGTGTTTTGGGCCTTAACCCTGATGCATAGACAATGTATTAAGATGGGGTTTTATGGCACAGTGGTATAGATGGAGGTGGGGTGGATGGAGGTGGGGTGGATGGAGGTGGTATGGAGACGGGTATCGTTTACCCACATTTCCTGGTGCACTAAGCCAAAATGAATCCAAGAAATCCTTGGAAAGCAGTGTGGGTGGATCAGAAATCAGGTGAAAATGAGCCACAAATTTTCGATTCCTCAAGTAGTCTTTGTTTCATCATAGAATTATTTTTTATTTTCATTTATTATAAATAACCCACTTCATTACTTAGCCATTTCTTTGAAAAAAATTTGGTATTTAGCATAAACACTGAGTGTCAACCAGAGGTGTGTCAGTTAAAAACAGAATAGGGAAGAATTAAAAAAATCTTGAAACCTGGAACGTATATAAAGACTGTATTACCATTCTTTAAAATTTTAGCTGCTTAAAAAAACAAATCCTAGGTGGAAAATGAGTAAACATAAATATAATCTAATGTATTTCTTTTATAAATACATTCGGACAAACAAATGTATAAAACAAGATTGACAGTGCATAAACATAGGAAAATATTTTATGCTGCTAATTAAATCCTAATGTGCATGAATTAAAATAAATTTTGATTCTATTTTTTGCTCCCCATGGAAAAATATGCTATCCCATTTGTGTAAAAAGAGAAACAGCCACAGACATGTTACTAAAGCCACCAAAACTCATGATATAAATCAGATTATTGCAAAACAAAACACAATTTTAAAGTGAAAGATGCACTGTTCTCATAGCATTTTCAGTTGAATTCTATCCCACAGCCACAGCTACTGCAGGGTTAGAGAGGTAGAGAGGTTGAAGGGGGGGCCAGTGTTCACATGACACGGGAGGTTTCCACTACAGCTCTGGCAGACAGACAGACAACTTCCATCTCCTCCAAAGCCCAAGAAGAGTGTAGAACAAGGCTTGAAAACCTGCTGCGGCATGGGAGCGCCACACTTCCCAGCGGAGCCCTCGCCACCGCCTCCCAGCAGGGTCCCCACGGCCTGTTCAGTGGACCTTTGCAAGGCCTGGCACTAGCCGTAGAGCTCTGGTGAGAGTTACGAGTGCCGGAGACACCCACTCGAGCCGTCAGGTGCTAACCACGCCAACGGTGCTGGAAAGCAGCGCCACCAACAAGCCCAGTGATTCTGAAGGAATGACTGCTTCCTTGTGGCTACAGCTACCACTGCCAACAAGAAAGGCAGCTGCTGAGGGGATAGCCCGGCCTTGGTGAGACCCACGATTGCCTGTTAGGTCAATAAAGTATCAAGTGTTGAGGAAGTACAAGGAACCGTCTCAATGGACTAAACCCTCCCACCACTTAGCACCGCTTTATTTTCTACGGGGTCAGCTGAAGTTCTGGCCACCGAAGGCAGTGCCAGACCCTCCTTCAAAAGCCGGTGCTCAGTTCCAGGACCAGTTCTGCCTGACAGCCTGCTTACTGGGTGGCTGCGCCGTCTGGGCTGGCCCCTCTCCCCATGACTAGGCAGTGTGGACAGGTACTATTGCTCATGTCCATGACCTTACGTTTTCTTTGACTCCTAAGGGCAATGTGATTTGTTTTCTTAAGAGATGTAAACATTTGTCAAGTGAGTGATGGGTGTCCTCATTCATAAATTGTCTCAAATGGCTCAAGTGTGTTTAGCTAGAGCGTGTAACAGGCTACATCTTGCCAGCAGGAGCGTTTGGAACTGTGTAACAGGAACGGCGTTTGGTCCTAGCTGCGGAATGTGAACACAACCCACTGTTAGCTGTTGCTACTCTCCAACTGACGGGGATGCTTCTGTGTGCTGCACTGGGCCGCTTGTGGGTGTGCAGAGAAACGTGAAACAAAGGAATTATGGAAGAAAGAGGGAGAGCAGACTGAGGCAGGAACAAGAAACTCCTAGCTACACCCTGTGTCTACCTCAGTCCTCACGTCAGGCCCTTCCTTTGAAGTGACTCATAATGGATTTAAGCTGTTCCCCTACACTCTTATGATGGGACTCAAGGGTTTCTGGAGTGTGCGGGGACTAATTGAAGGGATGCCAAGGGAAGAGGCACCTTGTGCTTCTCAGCTCTCGTGGGTCTCTGACCCCTGCTGAGTTGATAAGGAAGAGCATGTCACAGCCACAGAAATGAAGAAGCACACGGCACAAATCAAAGAGTGCCAAGGAGACTTGCAAATCTTTCCCTGTCACCGGGGATGGTTTCTGGATGGTGTGACCTCATTTCAAACGTTACAGTAACTGTTACAGAGTTGTTGTGCACAAAAGGCAGTACAAAGGAAACCTGTTAACTTTTTGTCCCTTACTAAAACTTTTTCTGCATTAAGGAGAAAAAATTAAGTTCAAAATACTGTTCACCCTTGGCAGTCACCAGCAGAGTGTGTTTTGGATACAATGATCTTGTCAAAAACATTTTAAGGCACTTAAACAGGTATATCATATTTTTCTGTAAAAAAATAAAATAGACATGAAAGCAACATTCACAAGGACAAGTGTTCAGAATGGCCTGCACGTACAGCCCTGTACATATATACACCGCTTCAGGAACACGCCTCCTCGGTCATACTGTTGGCCTCGTCAACTTCACGCCCTGCAAGACATGGAAACGCTTCAGAGTTGGAGAGTCTCCACAAACAAGGCAAATATCAGCTCAGATAACGTATGCTATGGAAGAGGCTGCTGATACTAGTTTAATCTGGAATGTTCCCTGTAGGCCCAGGCATTCAAGGAGGTGGGGCCTAGTGGGAGACATTCAGGTCCATGGGGGTGTGCCCTCAGAGGGGGACATAGGGCCTTGGTCCCCCACTCCCTCTTCCTAGCAATGAAAGGCAGGGCTCTATTCTAGGCACCCACCCCCCCAATAACTTGTTGCCTCTCACAGGTGCCAAAAGCAATAGAACAACTGATCATGGACTAAAACTTCCAAAACACATTGCTAAAATAAGCTTCTTTCTTCCTAAGTCTTGGGTATTTGTTATAGCAACAGAAAGCGGATTGGCACACTCACACAGACATTCTGTAATAACCAATCCTACCCCTAAAAACAGACCTAGCTCGGGCTCACTGGCCAGCTATCAGCTCCCCAGTCTAGCTCAGCTATTCCCATACGTCTGTTGGCACTGGGTGGATGTTTTGTCTCATTGGTGTCATTTGAGAACAAAGGTAGCCATTGTACCCTGAAGAAAGAGGTTCTTAGTACTTATTTTAGTAGGTACTAGGTAAATATTCCAGGTGTTTGGATTACTCTCAGTGCTAACTGGGAAATGAACGGCATGGTCCAATAGTATAGCTGAGAGAGTGTGCCAATCCGCTTTCTGATGCTATAACAAATGCCCAAGACGTAGGGAGCAGGACGCGTTTTTAGCTCCTTGGGAAGTCCTGACATTGCTGTCACTGAGTTAGTGATGGCACTGGACGGGCTAACCTCCTGATGTGGGACCGTGGGGGCTTCCCGTGAGTCTTGTGAGAGTGATATTATACCTCTATCACTGTGTTACAGACATACATGGCCAAATAGAGCTTTCCAGTCCTAAACATAGCACCAAGTTACTCACAGGGCTTTGGGCGAACTGTTGAATTCTCTCATCGCGTTTCCTAGCCTGTAAAATGGCGGCCGTAAGTGCTGCCAAGAGTATGGCTGTGGCTAGGCTGTGAACTCAGGCGGGATGCCTCAGCACCCATTGTCTGACCAAGGCAGAGATTGGGACCTGCCTGGCACACACATCCTGTGGCCATCCTGCCATTCAGGGTGCGAGGGACACCCAGTGTGCCATCAGGGTGCCAGGGACACCGCACAGTGGGCCGTGCCACTGGGTGTCTCTTGTCACACATCTCTGTTGGCAGTCACTGCTAACATTACTTCCGGCAGGGCCAAGCCACCAGAAAGAGAGCATTCCGGTGAAATACCAAATTCTGTGCATCATCTAAATTTCTTTGTGTCACTGACCTAATTTTTTCGGTTAATACTTTTGTAGATTAAATCCAAAGAACCTACCTGATATGTAATGATGCTACATAGAAGTATGGTGAAATTAATATTGTGTGGGCTCTTTTAATAGTTAGCTTTTACATTTTAATTCCCAAATACAACTTTGCCATCCCGGGAAAATGCATTGCTAAGTCCAGTTTTGGCCGTATTCAGAAAAGCACAGAGAAAAGCCACCCAGGTTCATGGTGAAATGCACAAGAAGGAATGGTTTATATTTTAAACATCCCATCAGCCAGAATATTTGAAAACTGCATTGCAAGTATTATTCTCTTTTATAGGACATTCAATACTCATTCTTCCTGATCAAATTGAATGGATCAATGAATACTATAGTTATCCATTTATTTGTATATGTGTGTGCGTTTGTGTGTGTGTACACATATGTGTCCTCGTGTGATGGTGTCTTCTTCAGTTGCTCACTATCTTACTTTTGAGACAAGGTCTCTCATTTGTGTGCATGGCTAGAGTGGATCTTTCTGTCCCTGTCTCCCAGAGCTTTCTCTACAGACGCTGGGGCTCTGGCTCGGGTCCTAATGCTTGAACAGGAAGTAATATGCGCACTCAGCCATCTCCCCCAGCCCACTATTACACACATTTGAACAGTGACGGACCAGGAAAAAGTTTGAGTTGAAAAAGCATTTCAGTCTGATCTGGATCCTCACCTTCTGCCTCGACACCATCCACGACTTTATTGTTGGCACTAACACACTTCCCAGGAGGATCTGAGCCGGGTGGTAGATGAGCAGGGGCACAGATATTAGCGAGAGATGCTCGTGGCCTGCAAACACTATCTTCAGCATTGGAATTCCTGTTCAACAGAAGACAGAAAACGTAGCAGCAAGTCAGGCAGGCGTCACATTAAAGGCATACTCCATGAAAATCACAACTTGGACGGGTTATGATTACATTTCCCTACACGCATTCACAGACCTGAAACGGGAAGTTCTCAAATAGAGCTGACAGGTCTATCTACGACATAAAGATCTAAGCTCTACTTGGGACCAGGACCTCTCATTCAAAACTGGCATTCAAAACTTCAGGAGGCGGAAAACTAAGGAACCGAGGAGTTGCTCTGAGAAGGCTGGAAAGGGCTAAGGAGAGGTTAATGGCGGATCTCCTCTTGCTCGGTGGTAGGAGTATATTGCTTGTTAGGGATCCCCGAAGACACAGGAAGATAATGTGCGGTAGAGGCAGCTGCCATGGGAAGATATTTAGCTGACGGAAGGCCTGAGATTCAACCCAGGACCTCACAACTACTAAGCAGGTGCTCCACCCACAAACCCAGAACGTTATTCTCATGGCCAAGGATCCCAATGTGTTTTGCAGTCACGAAACAATTTGGTATGTAACAGGCAAACTGCAAAGCTAGTGCTCCAGGGAAGGCCTGAAGGACCCAGACAGATGAGTACTGCACTGTGAAGCTGCCATTCCAATCTGAAAGAGTGCCTGTTCTAGACAGCCACGACTTTTGGCTTCTTTAGCTAGCAAAACGCAGACACTGGCAGCTCACGCATTGGCACCATCGCTTTCCTGCGGCCGTGCTCTTCGGAGCTGCTGTGACATGTCAGCTCTCACAACCAGCGCTTTAAGAGCGCAGCTTTCCTCCTGTTCTTCTGCAGTGGTCTCAAAAAGGACCCAGTGCCTGAGCATGCCCAACGATGGGGCATGAACTAGTAACACAACAGGGAAGCTCGCCTTTTCAATGATTTTTAACCTTCTAATAAAATTCAAACCTTTATGCAAAAACGTATTTCCTGACGGCTCTCTCTTTCATATCTGCACACAGTACTGCTATAAACTGAAGATACTTAACCCTTCCCAAACAGGAACCTCTCTCAGGGCTTCCAAAGTACACATTGAGATACTTTCTGTCTTCTATTTCCATGTTCACTATAAAACTCAGGACAAAGAACAAGACAAAACAAAAAACAAAAACAAAAGAAAACAAAATATAATAGCTCTTTTTTTTTTAAAGTGAAAGCTTAAAAATCCATGTGTTGTAAAATGTTATGTACAGCCTTGGAAAGTTAAGAAGGACATGCAGAAGCCGTCACTCCCCTTTGTAGACCAACTCTCTTCCATGGTCCACACGGATGGTATGCAGACTGGAAGACGAGGAACTCTGATGAGCTCTGCTGCCCCTGAGGGACTTCTAAGGAGGCACCGAGGGATGAGATCCAGGAGGGAGGGTTCCGGAGGTAGAGTATGAGGGAGCCTGAAGGGAACAAACTATAGAAGTGTGGAGATCTTTTGTCTTTAAAAGTGAGATTAGAGCGGGCTAAAATTTCAGGAGTATTGTTGCTCATCCCAGGTGCCTTGCTGTGGCCGCAAATCCAGGCTCTGTGCTTTTCTCCAGAAGGCTGGTGTGTTCAGAAGGGAAGCCAGGTAATAGGTGCTGCTGCAGTTACCAAGCCTACAGAACCAACGGCAAGACATCCAAGCTAGGGAACACGACACCAGAGGCCCGCGGCTGTGATGAGGAGGCAGGCAAGGTAGAACCGAAGGCCTGCTGCAGTCCAAGGTTACTCCAGGTGGCATCACTCAGGGTGCCAAGGACACTGCAACCCAAGGGACACCGGAGAGGGCCTGACGAGCGCCTGCTCTGCACAGCCCGCCTTCTGCAACGGTCCTCTGGCCTGCAGCTCTTCCAGGGCAGGAGACCTCGAACTCCCTTGATCTCCACACCACAGTGGTGCTGGGATTCCACATGGATGAAAAGCAAAGCTGCTGGTAGGGCCACCCCAGTAAGGCCAAGGCTTGACCTTCTAGAAGCTTCTAGTGTGCTGGTGGTCTTGCGGGTCTTTGAACTGGAGGCCGATGCTCTTGAGCTGCAGCTTCCCTCAGATCCTTCCTGTCATCTTCAAACACGGCTTCTGTTCACAGGGACGGCACACTTCAGTGCTCTGGCTGCCTGTGCCCTCGATGGTCTTGCCAGCTTGGAAGGGGCAGGGAGGTTCTCCACTCCCACTGCCCTGCCTCAGCCAGAGACTCACTGTGCCCCTAGGATCTCATCGGCTACAAGCACGAGCCCCGCTGCCCACTTCCTTCTCCAAGTATCTAGGCTCTGAGAGCCCTAATTCCCGTGGCCCCAGCTCTGGCCACTTCCTACCATAACAGCTCCTGGTTTCCTCACCGACCCTGGTGGCCTGCTTCTTACTGTGCCGTATGACAGCCATTCGCCTTGCCTGAATGAGAAGGAATCTGAGACGCCTTGCAGCTGTGCAGACATTTGTCACGTTAACTGGGACTCTCTTGCCACCACTTCATGTCCTACAATACTTTCTTGGTGGTTATTAATCACACTTCCCACTGCTAACTTTAAAAACGGAGTCTTAATGCTCAGTGGTGAGACCCAAGTAAGTCCCTCGGTATGTCCTGAAGAGTCACAGCCAGTGCTCAGTGATGGCAGGGGCATTCCAGCAATTAAAGTCACCCTAATTGTTTCGATCTCAAGCCCTATCTTACTTCCTATCTTTCAAATACCTGCTTTCCATTTCTATTTTAGAGTTCTTCTCAACCTGTTTGTTGCTGTTGTTAGGTTTTGAGACAGGGTTTCTCTGTGCAGCTCTGGCTGTCCTAGAACTCACTCTGTAGACCAGGCTGGTCTCGAACTCACAGAGATTCACCTGCCTCTGCCTCCTGAGCGCTGGGATTAAAGGTGTGCACCACCAACGCCCTGCTCAACCAGTTTATTTCAATGTCGTTTTGTTTCAGCACTCGCAAGCCCTAGCTGGGTGCGATCACAGTGGACTCTCCCGTTCTCAGGCTCTGGGTGGAAAGAAAAGGTAGGAGAAGCAGACAGACAGCGTATTCCCCAGTCTGGGTACCTCTGCCAGGTGTCCGGTGATATCTGGGCAACAGCTAGAAAGCACGGCAAGGCTACAGCGTTCTCCTGACGCCACCACACCAGTATACTTGACTTCTGGCACCTGGCAATGCGTCTGTCCTGTTGAACCAGGAAACCGCTACAGTATTTATCCAGCAGCCTGCAGACAGAGAGAGTCTTTCCCTCCTCTCTCACAGGTCAACAGCTCACTGGAACACTCATTCATTCATTTCACTAGCAGGCATGTGTGCTGCCTACGTTCCAGAAAGCTGGCTGTGCCAGAGCCCAGTGCTGCGGCCAGATAGGGCCCGGATGGTAAAGGCCTGGCCTCCTGGCACATGGAGGGGCCTTAAGGAAAGGGAGCCCAGGGGGAGGAGTTCAGGTCACTTGGGGGCCTGGAAGGGTCACTGGGCCCCCAGCCTCCTCCTCTCTGTATTGTTTCCTGGTGGAGGAGCAGCCTGATGTCCTGCCAGGGGCCTACGGAGACAGGGCTAAGTGACCACGGACAGATCTCGGACACCATGGGCCCAATGATTTCCTAGTCTAGCAGCCGATGCACTCAGGCACCATGGCAGAATGTCAGACAAGGAACCTTTGCTCCCTCCCCTCTAGATCTCCCCACTGCTCTCCTCTAGATCTCCCCACTGCTCTCTCCTCTAGATCTCCCCACTGCTCTCTCCTCTCCTCTAGATCTCCCCACTGCTCTCCTCTAGATCTCCCCACTGCTCTCCTCTAGATCTCCCCACTGCTCTCCTCTAGATCTCCCCACTGCTCTCTCCTCTAGATCTCCCCACTGCTCTCTCCTCTAGATCTCCCCACTGCTCTCCCCTCTAGATCTCCCCACTGCTCTCTCCTCTAGATCTCCCCACTGCTCTCTCCTCTAGATCTCCCCACTGCTCTCTCCTCTAGATCTCCCCACTGCTCTCTCCTCTAGATCTCCCCACTGCTCTCTCCTCTAGATCTCCCCACTGCTCTCTCCTCTCCTCTAGATCTCCCCACTGCTCTCTCCTCTAGATCTCCCCACTGCTCTCCTCTAGATCTCCCCACTGCTCTCTCCTCTCCTCTAGATCTCCCCACTGCTCTCCTCTAGATCTCCCCACTGCTCTCCCCTCTAGATCTCCCCACTGCTCTCTCCTCTCCTCTAGATCTCCCCACTGCTCTCTCCTCTAGATCTCCCCACTGCTCTCTCCTCTCCTCTAGATCTCCCCACTGCTCTCCTCTAGATCTCCCCACTGCTCTCTCCTCTAGATCTCCCCACTGTGTAAGAGAAGCCTTTTTCTTTGAGAGAAGCTTTCCTGCCAGCCTGGTTCTAGAGCCACATCAGTCCCAAATAAACACACAGGAGGCTATATTAGTTATGAAGCTGTTGGCCTTGCTTGTTTCTTACTGGCTAGCTCTGACTTAAGTAATTACCCCATAATTGTTAATCTAAGTATTTCTCTTACCGGAGAATAGTTCCGGGCTCCTACCCCATGGCGTTACATGTTGACTCTCTTGTGTTTCTCCTTCCCAGAATCCTCCTGGACTCCTAGTCCCACCCATCTAGATTCCTATTGGCTCAACAGTACTTTATTAACATAAGACTTCCCCAACATCTCCTCTTTTCTGTTTAAACAAAAAGAAAGGTCTTAACTTTGACATAGTCAAATCATTTATAACAGAACAGTTATCAAGTAAGAATACAGTTACAATATTTTGTCTATCAACATTCAGCAAGATTTAAAGAAAATATCATCCATCCCATCCTTGTGAGTCTAAAGTTCTATATGTAGGTTATCTTTTATCATAACTAAGGAAAACTATAATTATAACTATCTATCTTCAACTCCATCAAAGACCACAGAAGGATAATATATAAACACTAGGATTGACAGAGACATCTTACTGCCTGGACAGTCACCCGAAGTTCCTCTGTAACGTTGGGGCATCCATCTTCAGCCCATAGGCCAGTGTGTCCAGAAGATTTCTCAGCAAAGCAAGAA